CTCCCTCCCTGTAATACTCTCTCCCCTCCCTGTAATATTCTCTCCCCTCCCTCCCTGTAATATTCTCCCCCCTCCCTCCCTGTTATATTCTCCCCCCTCCCTCCCTGTAATACTCTTCCCCCTCCCTGTAATATTCTCCTCCCTCCCTCCCTGTAATATTCTCCCCCCCCTCTCTCCCTGTAATACTCCCTTCCCCCTTCCCCCCTCCAATCTTCTCCTCACCTGCTCTTCCCTGTAGCGTGGCCGAGCTCCTCTCCGGCCTGCGACCCGGCCGGATTGACAGGAAGTGCACTTCCTGTCAGTCCGGCCGGGTCCCGGACAGGAGAGGAGCTCGGCCACGCTACAGGGAAGGGGAGGTGAGGCAGTGCGGCAGCCGTTTGAGCGCTCTCTATAGAGCGCTCAGTCGGCTATGGCATTTAAAGGGCCTGCAGCTGCCGGCCCTGCCTAGGTCTTATTTTCGGGGTAGGGCTTATATTGCAGCCCACCCCGATAATCCAGCTAGGGCTTATTTTCGGGGTAGGGTGTATTTTCGGGAAAACACGGTAAGAAACCTTTATTGTTGCTGGCTATTAGAGCTTACCATTAAGCCTTCCCCTAATTCCTAAATCCAAACCAAAAAATCCTATAGTGATCTACTGTATATAAATTAAATCTTCTACTTCAAACAAATAATGTATCATAATCTCTTATCCTAAAGCTAATGCCAACAATAATTGAAAGCTGTATTGTTGATAACCCTAATCTTTATTCCTAAAAGTAACCCAAAATGTATCTGAAAGCAACATCCTTAAGGGAACACAGAAAGTTTTGTTTTGCTTTCATTAGTTTCACAGAGCTAACGGAAGTGGCAGGCGCGCTGCTTAGCCTCCCTCCTTCTGTAGTACAGCTCATTGAATAGCACTGGAAAGCTGTAGATGAGCGCATAAGCACGGTCGTTGCTCCGGCACAGATGTTATGAATGAGAAGGTATGAGAGGTATATCTACAAATCGTTAAAAAAAAACAAGTGTTCCTTTAAGAATGAATTTGTCCAACATTATTGCAGTTATTTTTAAAACACATGAGCAGGATTGCAAGGAATTTCATGAAATCTGTGCTGAATAAATATATCCAAAGGCAAAATTGAAAAGAAATTCACAGAATTCACACTGGATAATAGTATATGAGAGTAGAATTGAAAGGTGTATCATAAAATTCATGCTAGATACCATTATTTGATTATGCAGTTAAAGGTTTGATGAGTATCAACTGTGACACAGCATTCGATATGATATAATATAAGGTGATATTTTAAGTTTGTTTTGCCTCACAAATTCATATACCGAGGAAACTGGGGTGATAAAGAAAAACACCTTTATTGCAATTTCCTCTTCTTTGGTGACAAGCCAATTATTTTTTTTTACTATTTAATACAGGGTGGGCAATCTTCGGCCCTCCAGATGTTATGGACTACATCTTCCTTGATGCTTTGCTAGCATTATGGGAGATGTAGTCCAAAACATCTGGAGGGCCGAAGATTGCCCACCCCTGATTTAATAGATATACCCCCAAGGAAAACTTGCATACTTTTTTGAAAGTTATATGAAAATACAGTTTACAAAAGCTGCAGACCTGCTGTCTGCAGCCTATGCAAGCCCCCCTCATCCACACCCCTCCTCTTTCACAAGTGCAGACATTCAATGTGTGGCAGGGAATATACCAGTCAGTGCCTTCTTATTGACAAGATACTGTGCTAGAGCCACTAGCGCGCACACAATCACAGCTTTCCTATGTTTCACAATCAGCTGTAGTACATCTCATTGAGATGAAGGCAGACACTCTCTAGCCCACTGCAATGCTTCTTCTGGGTAGCTTCATTGAATGTGTTTTGGCAAGTTTAGCTCCTTGAAAGTGTTTCGGCAAAGTTATAGGAAAGTGCTGATTTCTGTGAAAACAATTTTATAAATAGGACAGACTCCAGGTGCTTAAATCACTTCACCAAGCTGAGATATCCAAAATACTTTTGGGATCATCAATTGGACCTATTGCATGCATAGAAAATCAGTGTGGTCTGCCAATCGGATGAATCTCTTAGAGAAGCAAAGAATAAAATGCTTCTCTGTGAGAAGCATTCACAGCTTCAACAGTATCTTGCTGTATGTAGTATTGACAAATATGAAGACATTCAAAACTTGTAGATCTTTAACAAATAAGTGTTTCTATTAGCAGTCTCTCTGATAGCCACTAGAGGGGTAAGACCAATTTAAACATTAGTATTTCGCTGAAGTGGCAATGTTTTACATATAAAAGAGACAGTTTTATGCACCAAAATCACTTCAAGTTATGCGGTTTTGGTGCTAAGAGTGTCCCTTCAACTCTCTGATAGCTCCTATCAATTAAGAGGAAGAAATATTAGACAAACATTGTATATATACAATGTAGAACTTGCACAACATGTGTCCCAGTAACAATCCCTTATAAAAAGTATTTTGCAAACCCAATGAGCAGTTTTATGTGGTGACCAAGAAACAATACACATTCATGTAAAAACATTATGTCTTCATTACGTAAAGGTAGTAAGATGATACATTCTAAAATTACATTTTCATATGTTTTAAACAGCAGAACAGCAAAACAAGCACCCGAAATACAGCAATCAAATCAAATCAATATATTGACGATACCACGTATTAAGTGCTATTTTATATATAAAACCATTAAGACATGAAGACCTCCACATGTTGGTGATATGATTTTGATAATAATCAATCCTTGGGTCCCAGGTTTTGTGGAATTAAGGGCAAACCACAGTTTTGTCCACTAAAGAACATTCCAAGTACCATAACAACTCTCATCCTGCTGTAGTGGTTATGGTACCATGACTGCCCTGGCCCACTCCCAAAATAATTTGTTTAACCAATTTAGAATGGTTTTACAACCTTCCTGGACCACTAGCACCACCTCCATTCTCCTGCAGGTTCTAATTCCTATTTATAAAGCGCTAAAAAAAAAAAAAAAGACTGAAAACAAAAGACTTATTTTATTATCTTTTTAAACAAGCAGAATGTGATAATTTCTGGAATGCATGCCGAATGTCCAATATTGTATATACATTTTATGTATCTTGATATATGCTATTGTTCCTGACTTGAATTAGCAGAGATATTTTTTTTTAATTGTGAAAAGAAACAATTCTGAGACATCAAGAAAACACTTGGAAGAAGGCCAGCTCAGCAAATGTTCTTCAGCCCAGGAAACAGAGAGCATACTGCGGATACATGCAAAATTTGTATTTCTACAAACAAAGAGAAAAGAAGAAAACATAATTATTTACAACCATAATATAAAAATTATAAAGCGCCATACGGCCAAAGTTACAAGGACACTGTCCTGGCTTTCTCTTTGTGAATGGTGTCAGACTGTAATGTCTATTAAGGCCCCCTGGGTTCCTAACAATCTGATCATGACCTCAATCAAAATATTTTGATATTTATTTATATACTGATATATTTTTTACATATTACTTCTATGTTGATACTTTAAAATTCTGAAAAAAAAGATTTTAAAAGTTTAACTAAAAATATGAAATCATTTGAAAAGCCTATCCAAAAATATTAGCTGATAGCTGATATAAGTTATTTCTGAGGCTAGTGGAGGCAAAGATGGTAGTGGACAATATTAATGGTAGTGGAGACAAGAAGCAGCATCCACAGGGCCTCAGATAAGAAATCAAACCATTAAAAACTGTTTCACTTTCTACAAAGGACTTCAAAGCAACATGTAGTGGTCATGGTGCTTGGAGTGTTCTTTTAACTTGAGCAGGCAATGAGCAGATAATAGTTTCTCCAGTTTTTTTTATTTAAGTATGTCAGATTTATGTTTAGAGATGTGCTCTATTATTTTTGAATAGAATAGATTGTCCTACATAAATCAGGTCACAGATTCACAACTAAAGAAACTACGCTATACTTCCCTGTGTAGATGGCAAAAGTGTTTGCCCTTAATAACGTTCCAAAAGGAGCCATGTTTGGTGAAAAGGTTCTAGTATTTGTGTAAAATTGTACCAAATTGTGGTGTTGAGTGTGGTGGTGGTGTCATACAACTGTCATACATTTATTCTTTTTTTTTTTTTTTCTATATTTTTTGTTTGCAATATTTATAGGCAATATAACAGATATTGAGATATCCTCCAACAATTTGTTTCTTAGAGAATAATTCCTCAGAATAACCTGTTTTACTGAACATTGTTTACATCAGTTTTAATCTCTTGTCACTGACTTGTGGGTCAATGGCAATACTCAGTAAAACTTACCTTAGGGTAAGGTTGCTAACAATTTTTGTGAATGTGCTCTCTTGTAAACAAAACATTTGTTTAACATGGGACGGAGGCAATTATCAAAGTTCGGAAACAAAACAAAACCTAGAATTTTAACTATATGTCTGTTCAACTATAATTTAGCTCCCACACATTGCACCCACATTTATTATGTATAATTTTGTTCAGGAGAAATAGGGATTTCATGTCACATTAAATTATGAAACATCATTAATATGAATTAAAAAAAAAGTGTGAAAAATTGAGAAATGTCATTTTCCAAGATCTGCATGGCATTTTACCTGTGAATGTCATATTACTGTTAGCTTTTACTCTAATGCTGTAATGTCCCACAAGTACAGCGATGCCGCCAATGTCCAGGTTTTTTGGAAAGTTAAAGGGTCAAATAAAGAACTTGCCCATTCAATTTTTACACATTGAAATTTGCCAGATTGATTTGCTGGGTCTATGTTGTCTTTGAGACCGTATGGCAGCCCAAGAATGAAAACGCCCTAAAAGCGTTAAAGCGCTCATTTTGTAGGATGGTATAGCACACCTTAATGCCAATGGAGGGATTAGTTTTGTAAAACTGAACTTTATGGTGCATACACCCACTGCTCGGGGACTCTCACACTTTTCAAATCACTACGCAATGAGTAGAAATTATTATAGTGCCTGCAGCATCCCTGTAAGGATTCAAAAACCTATCTTTAATGAATTAATGACAGATGACTTGTCAGTGCAGTCTTGATATGGAAAAAAAAAATATTTCCCTAATAATTCCCTTATAATGAGTTCATGAATGGGAAATTTTACTTTAAAAAATTCTTTATGCGCTCTGTGAGCTAAGTCTATCAAAATTTATTAGAAAGTTATTTGGTAGTGAAAGTGTTACTGTTAGAAGGTGTGACTACTAGGCAGTTGATTCGAATGGAGCCTCCTGAAATTTCATGGTTGCAAGCAGGGCAGAGACATAGCTGTAGGGATTTTGGAGCACATGATCGGAGTAAACTCGTGATCAGCAGTGCCACAGAATGAAGCATAAAAGTAATTGTGGATTTTTTCATCTCTCTCTTGTCTATTCCTGACTTGTGTGGACTTGACGTCTTTCTCAGACTTGTCATGGCTTCTCCTAGACTGGAGACATTCTGTTGTCCCAATAGGGACCTAGCCACTGAGTTAGTCCTGGACTACCAGCCTCAAGTATTTGGTTCCTTGTGCATTGGCAGTGGGTTAGTTAGCATGTTTTTGACCATTCTACAGCTTCTTCCAAAAACCAAACAAGGCTACCGGAAACTGGGAAGATTCACTCTGCCCAAACCATCCTCGTCCAGAATTCTTCTTCTAATTGTCATCTGTGACATGCTGGGCTGTTTAGGTAACGTGGTTTCATTCATATTCATGATTGTTTTATGTTCTCTGTTGTTCAATACTTTAAATATCTCTGCAAAAGCTGAAGCCTTGGATTATATTTTAATGCATTTAGATTGCTTTTTATTGAATTTAAGAAATGCATGTCTCTGTTTAAAACATATGACAGGAAACTGGAATTAACATCAGAGACGGTTTTCAAATGTAAAGTCATTAGATGTAATGGCTAGTTAATGCGTGAATGAATTGGATACTGCCCATTCATTTGCTGAATAGAAATGATATCTCAAATGTGTTAAGCTAAATTCATAGTTCTTTTACTATTCTACTATGTTCAATTTTATGATGGTGTGCTTATTATTATTACGTTTTTGCTCTCTAATGACAGTAAAGGACCACTGTCATGGAAAAAATACAACTTATATGCAGGTAAATTATAAGTCTTAGACAGTAGAATAGTTTAATGTTGTGAAATTTTTGATATTTTGTGCTCTAATTTTTATTCTTCCTCAGTACTTAAACCTGTAACATAACCTACTTTTTATCTGCAAAAAAGAAATCAAATAGATAGGAACCACATCAGCTTTTTGGAATTCAAAGTTAATTCAATGTGAATTTCAAAATTTCAACCAAATTAGCAGATTCGGTCAAATTCTCCACATCATTTCTGTGTTTAATTTGGCTATTTTGGCATTACTTTTAAACATCACTTTGCATTTACTTTGAATTCCCTGAAATTCTCACTTTAGTGAATAACTCTTTGAGTTCAGTTGTTTATTAATTCAAAATTATAAATATTATAATAAGGCACAGAGTGATTACAGCCGTGTTAATATTTACAAAGCATCTCATTTGGCTTACATTTTTCAGTATACTTTCCAATTCGCCACAATTCACTGTTTAGTTAATAAACCCCAATGTGTCTTTCTATAAATATTAGTGATTACACATGTGCTTGCTCTGGTTATAGGCTATTCTTAGGGTGAAACATATATAATGAAAGCAAATTACAACAAAAAGCGATGCAGATTTAACTAGACATCTAGATTTAAAGAAAGCATATTTTATACTATGCTTAATGCAGTATACACAAAAAGTAGGGGAAACTGCTAAAAGACAAGGTGTTAAAGGAACAGTGTAGTGTATTCCTAATGCTAGAGTTGTGATGCCCCTTAATAAATAGGCCAGCGTCTATAATGAGTAACGAGCTGCCACAACCTCCTTCTTGTCTACTCTGCCCAAATGTTACAGGATTGGGGAGATGCAGTGGTGAGTGAGCTGTGATCAATACTTCCTCTGCCTGCACAACTCCCTTGGGTGCCATGTAATGAGACCAGGAGCTGGGATGTGACGCCCCCCCTGCCCTGGCATCACTACAAGATATGAATGCCAACTATACACAGAACCGGTGTTACCGTTAGGCAAACTAGGCATTTGCATAGGGCGCCGGCCTGCTGGGTGCGCCCACCGGGATATTTCCTGGTGGGCTCCCCCTGTCTAGGGCCGCAGCGCTGGGAAAGCGACTCACTAGCCGCCCCCCCCAGTGCTGGGCCGAACCTCCAGGCAGCAGAAAAACCTCTAGGTGCCCGGAGCAGCCTTGTCACAGGTGGGCCACTGATGCTGTGCTACGGTAAGGCAGAGCTGGCGCCTGCTTACCTTGATGGCAGGTGCCTGCATTGCCAACAAATGCCGTTTACCTGAGGAGAGGGACATGGAGAAAGCAGGCAGCGAGGGAGGCTGTTCTTGCAGCCTCTCAGTCCTCCCTCGCACGCCCTCTGTGATGCTGGGAGCCAGAATATGACATCATTCCGGCCCCGGTATACTAAACAGCGGGTGGGAGAAGTGAGGAGCTGCCCCACACTGGATCCCAGGGAGGTGAGTGTTTGACTGTCAGTGAGTGTCTGCCTGTGTGTGTGTCTGTTAGTGAGTGAGTGTATGTATGTCAGTGAGTGTGTGTGTATGTCTGTCAATGAGTGTCTGCCTGTGTTTGTGTCTGACTGTCAGTGAGTGAGTGTATGTATGTCAGTGAGTCCGTGTGTGTTTGTGTGTGTGTGCCTGTCAGTGAGTGAGTGTATGTATGTATGTCTGTCAGTGAGTGAGTGTACGTCTGTCTGTGTCTGTCAGTGAGTGAGTGTATGTCAGTGAGTGCCTGTGTGTGTGTGTATATGTCGGTCAGTGAGTGTGTGTTTGTGTGTCAGTGAATGAGTGTAAGTCTGTCAGTGAGTGATTGTATGTCTGTCAGTAAGTGTCTGTGTGTGTGTGTCTGTCAGTGAGTGTGTGTGTGTCTGTCAGTGAGTGAGTGTATGTCCATGAGTGTCGTGTGTGTCTGTTTGAGTGTGTCAGTGAGTGAGTTTGTTTGTCAGTGAGTGAGTGTATATCTCTCAGTAAGTGTCTGTGTGTGTGTGTCTGTCAGTGAGTGAGTGTATGTCTGTCAGTAAGTGTGAGTGTATGTCTGTCATTGAGTGTGTTTCTGTCAGTGAATGTGTGTGTCTGCCATTGTGTGTCTGTCTGTCAGTGAGTGAGTGACATGAGGGGGCGGCAAAATGGTTCTTTGCCTAGGGTGGCAGAAATCCTTGCACCGGCCCTGACTATACAGCTAAAGCATAGTGATCCCAGCAGCACCCCCTGGCCACTAGGGGCAGTATACACTCCAACTCTCGCTGACACAATTGAGAGGCTAGGTGGACCAAACAATAAATTATATATATATATTTAAAGAAAAGAAAATCATGTATGTGTTTGAGAATTAATAAGTATGTATGTGTGCATGAGAATGTGTGTGGTTGTGTATGTGTGTGAAAATGTATATTTAGGTGTTCATGAAAATGTGTATGTCTTTGTGTATGAAAATGTCTATGTGTGTGTGTGCTGAAGAATGTGTCTGTGATTCTGTGTGCATGAATCACTACCCAAAAGTAAGTATTTGGTATTTAACTAAGAGCTTTTTGACACTATTTTGAACCCTTTATTACGGACCATTAAGTTTTTTTTTAGTTTTTTTACACATTTCTCATTATTGTGGGGAGTTTCACAGGCCTATTCACAGCAACACCACCCATGTAGACCTTTGCCAGAAAAGGGAAATATTATAGTATCAAGTGACAGGTGTGCCTATTTCAGTCTTTACATTTTTGTTACCACATTGACCAGCATTAAACTTTGAAGCTGTCATAATCTTGAGCAGCTCAGGTAAGAGACAATTGCCAAGGTTAATGTTTGGTTGTTTATTGGTGACTTTACACATAGCTACACATAATTAGTATACGCAGCAAGCCAAAGAGGGAGGTAATTATAAGTGATAATAGTTGAGAGAGTTAGGCAATTGGTAGAAAGAAAAACCTATAAGCGGAATTATAGTAAAAGGTTAAAGGAGAACCTGTTAGTGGAATTATAGGTAAGTAGAAAGAAGGTGAAATAGAAATAGAGGTTTAGGCAATATGTCCCGGACAGGTTGTTACCAAGATATAATTAGAGAATAGCAAATACTTATGGTTGAAAGTATAGGACAGGCATAGGCAACCTTCGGCAATCCAGATGTTTTGGACTACACCTCCCATGATGCTTTACCAGCATTATGGGTGTAAGAGCATTATGGGGAATGTAGTCCACAACATCTGGAGGGCCTAAGGTTGCCTACCCCTCGTATAGGATATATAGAACAGAAAGGTATCAGAATTGCAAATAAAATAGATTAGTGAATCAGCCCCCAGTTGGAAGGAGCACTGATAAAGCAGGTAAAATACTCTTTGCAATATGACTTAGTATCGTAATTCAGGTTGGTAAACTGTAGGTTGGTTGCGTCGTTCAGGTTAGAATAAAGCAGGTTGGTGTTATAAAGCAGATTGATATGAAGCAGGTTGGTAATAATGCAGGTTGGTGACAAAGGTTGGTTTGTAGAGTAGTTCAAGTTTATATAACGAAGCTTGGTAGCACAGAAGGTTGTTGTGTAGATCAGCTTGAAAAAAAAGGAGCTTGGTAGTGTAGATAATAAAGCAGGTAAGTTCATAGGAGTCAGGAATAGAATCTTTTCAGGTTGACCATCAACTTCAATGTAAAGGCCCTGTATTGAGCAGGGTGTAGCCTTTTGTAGCATCACTAATTAGTCCAGGCAGGCAAGGATGCGTGAAAGAATGTTCTGACCTAGTGGTTAGGGAGGCCACTAGTGGCAAAACATAGTTACTGCAGGTACAAAATTGAAAGAAATTAATACAGTTCCGAAATTAGATTTTGGATCCTGACAGATTCTATGTATAATCCAAGGTAAATCTAATTTTAACCCTAACTCTATCTCTATCTAGCCCTTATCAGTACCCTAGATAAGCATAACTTTAGTTTACACTAAGCTTGGAAAATCCTAACCTTAGCTAACCCAAACTGTAGTTGTCCCTTACTTTAGCTAGCACTTAAATTACCTAACCTCCCCTAATAACCCTAACTTCACCAAACCCTAGCTAGCCCTAACTCTAGCAAACTGTAACCCTACAAAACCCAATAGGGACACATTCACAGATACGCATACTAATAAACTGACACAAACGCAAACTGTCACACACATCAATACAAAAAGCACCTATTTCTAGCTACCTTTCTTTGGGGTCTGTGGTGGACACTTTGACTGCACCACCAGTAGTTCTGCCCCGCTAGAATGCAGGACATGTCCCAGGGCTCTTTATTTTTTTCTTGCTGGGTCAAGCGCTTAAAACATGGGAATGTCCCGGTAAATTCTAGACAGTAGGCAACTATGGAATATTTGTGATCTACTGTTAATAAAATACAGTTGTTTGCTTTATCATTTTGTCTTCTCTTTACTGTGTAGGGATTGTATTGAGATCAATAGTATGGATCTCGTCTCCAGCTTTCATTGGGAATATGTCTATATTGAATACAACAGATATCTGGCCTACAGCCTTTTGTGTTGGAAGCGGGGTATGTATGATCGATTTGTGGCTATTTTGCAATGTTCACAATACTGGATTTTCCTGTAATAAATATGTTAAAATTTACAGTGGGTTAATCTACCAAACTACTAACTGGATATACCTAATTTCATAAATTTATAGTGAAATCCAAATTTAACCCTACATTATAATTCTAATGATTACTAAATACAGTGCAGATGCATATTTTGAGGATAGTCTTGAATATCCATGTTCACGTTGGATTAATGTGAATATAATACAAAAATACAAAGTACAACTGAAAATGTTTAAATGACACTCCAATTATAGAAAATATTACATTTATCAAATGCAAAATTGCATCTAAAGTGACACAGATTTTTGTATTTGTGTGCAATGCCAGTGCATGTGTTAATGCAGGCATTCATTTGTGTGAATTGCCAGTGTTGAGGAGAAACGCATCTACACCTAGTTTTTGTCTGTCCCAATCTCCCTCCTCTAGTCTGTGTCTGTCCCCATCTTCCTCTCTTCCAGTTAGGCCTACCTGATCTCTTCTTCCCTATCTGCTCCTATCTGCCCTCCCCAAGTTTGTGTCTGCTACATTCACCTTCTTCTCTTTTTTGGTCTGTTGCTACATCTCCCCCCTCCCATATTTGTCAGTCCCTGCCTTTATCTCCTCCCCATGTCTTCCCACTTTTATTCATTCTGTGTTTTGATACCCCAGCACCCCAGTCCTCTCATTATAAATACGTGTAATGTGGGTGAGCTCTTGCTGAATGCTACTTGCCTTAGAGAAGGAGAGAAAGCACAGGCAAGGAGATTACTTTGGAATGAACGACAAAACAGGAACACTTATTAAAATAGGCAAGCCAGTTGGGAAGCTTCTTCCATATAGCCGACCCTTGACCCAAAGTTATTCCAGTCCTCTGTCACGGTACCAGTAAAACATACCACTGTGCTTTATTTTATGGAGTATCCTGCACCTGTCCGTCATTTTACAGAGCATTCTGCCGCTGTACGTTATTTTATGGAAAAGAGCATCCTGCACTTGCCCTTCATTTTACAGAGTACTCTACACCTGTACGTAATTTTCCAGAGCATCCTAACTCATGTATCATTTTACAGAGCATCCCCATGATTCACTTCATTCTGGTGTCCCGTGCCCACTGCATTTTATGGAGCTGGACACCCTTGCATCATGATTTATGCAAATGTGCCTGTGTCATTTGTACAACACTGCACATGCAGATTTGGCATTGCAAGAATGACATCCCATGGGCTCTCTAAGGCTATATAAACTCTTTCCATACAGGGTACCTTCTGATGGTTTTCCCTTGTGGCAATCCGAGTGAAGAAATGTCTGACTTAGATAGCTATAGTAAGGTATAGAGGCATTCATCTCTTTCTCTCTCGAAAAAAAAAAAAGTGATTAAAAATTCCTTCCACCTGAAGTCAGTGGATAGTCAATACATTGTTAAACACAGAACTGCACACCAGTCAAGCCATAAGACTTGCTACAGAAATCTCATATTTGCAGTGATGTTACACTGCAAGGAATTCTGGGTGGGCATATGCAAATTCACATTTTTGCCTCATTCCATTTTAAAACATGGACTTCCAGAGTGGACTATTGACTTTTTGTCCCATAGTGGACTATTTTATATTAAGAGACATTTTTTTAAATATATTTAATTTTTTACTTTTACCTAAGTGGAGTTGTATTTTTATGTATTTCCTTTTTTATTAAAGAAGAGTTTCATTCTATTTGAATGGGTATGGTCCCTTCTTCTTAACTATCATAAGGAATACAGAAACAGCTGCTACACAGAAAGGGAGTGGGAACCCTCATAATTATCCCACAGGCGTCTGAATTGAGCCAGTCACCTTTGGCTCTCTGTTTGTGAGTACTAATCACAAATTATACTCAAAGTCACTTTTGTGCTCTACGATATTGCACTAGATTTTGTTTATTTTCTCTGCCACAACAGTAATACCACCTGCCTAATATCCTGAATGTCCAACTCATGCTGCCAAACCAGCTCTCATCCGTCAAGGCAAGGACTTCACAAGACCTATGAATGTCTCCTGTGGTATCTCTGTGGTAGCAGACATTAGCAGCAGATCCTTTAAGCTCTTCAAGTTGCAAAGTAGAGCCTCCATGGATTGGATTTATTGTTCCAGCTCATCCCCCAGGTGCTCAATCGGATTGATATCTGGGGTAATTTGGAGGCCAAGGCCAAGGCACCTTAAACTCTTTGTCATGTTCCTCAAACAATTCCTGAACAGTTTCTGCAGAGTGGCAGGGGAATTATCCTGCTGAAAGAGGCTACTGCCATCAGGGAACTCTACTGCCATGAAGGAGTATATTTGGTCTGCAACAATCACTAGGTAGGTGTTACGTGTCAAAGTAACTGTAGTGGACACTGGGTAGCCTGACCGGTTACCTCCACTAATTCCTTCCTTCCCAAACTTGGGAACCACTATAGAGTATACAGAGACCCATTTCCCCCCCAGTAACTGGACGAGACACATCTCTGAAGGTACAACACAGTATTATTGCCACACACGGCTTTTATGCATAGCCCCATGCAAGGGGTCTTCCACACACATAAACAGGGGTTATCCCAGGATCCTCTATGCTTGGGAGGTTGCTGTTCCTTTGTCTCCCAAATAAGGAAAGCCCACCACTCCGGTGAGAGGTCTCCAGCCCAGGATAACAGGGGGGTCTTCATCCCATGCACATGGGAGCCAAGGTGCGGGAAAAGAGACTGTCTCCCAGGTGCAGAAAAGCCTGCCAAACCAACCAGTGCCTCAAAAGGGTCCCCACCAATCTCAGGCGCCCTCACACTGGCACATTCTACGAGCAATCTCCATTCGCGAGATTCCTGTGCTAAAAAAATCTGCAAGGGAAGCATCTCCTTTCGGGGTACGAATGCTCCCCCTGGTTGGCGTTCGTCTACATGACCGGCATCATATTATAACCATAAAGAAACAAAGCATGGGATGTTCTGTCAAATGACTCATGGGTTCAGGATGCTCTGTAGAATGACACACAGGTGCAGGATGCACCGTGATATGTCACCCTTGTGCTGTGACCAGGGCCGGCCTTAAAGTGTGTGCACCTGCTACCCAGGTGGAGGATTTAATTTTTCTCCATCCGGGACTATCCGAAAAAATGTGAGCGGGGCTTACCGAGTGGTTGGGCGAGGCTAAACAACAGCAGGGGCGGAGCTAAGTGCTCACAGAAGCCAGTGCTGCACAGGAAGGGGGAAGCAGGAAGGAGTCCCTGCTTCCTCAACAACTCCAGGAGCTGCCTCCTCTCCTTCCTTACAGCTCATTATGGAGAAAGGTAACTTTCCATTTGTGTGACTGTCTTCTTTGTGTGTGACTGTCTGCCTGTGTGTGTGACTGTGTGCCTGTGTGTGTGTGTGACTGTGTGTGTGACTGTAACTGTGTGTAACTGTCTGCCTGTGTGTGTTACTGTGTGTGTGTGTGTGTGTGACTGTCTGCATGTGGGTGTGACTGCAACTGTGTGTGTGTGTGTGACTGCCTGTGTGCGTGTGTGTGACTGTCTGTGTGTATGTAGTAACTGTATATGACTGTAACTTTGTATGACTGTCTCCCTGTGTTTGTGTGTGACTGACTTCTGTGTGTGTGTGTGACTGACTGCCTGTTTGTGTGACTGTAAAGGTGTGTTTAGCTGTATGTATGACTGTCCCCTATACAAACACTAAACCCCTCTACACACACAGAAACACTATACATGGATGGGGAAGGGGGAGGGCTGTCAAGATTTTCTCACAGGGCACCTAAAGGCCTCAGGCCGGCCCTGGCTGTGACAACCTCCAGCATTAGCCAATCTCATCTCTCTTGCAGGGTGTATTTATCTCCTACATTCCCCCAATTCCCTTATGATAGTTTAAGAGATAAGAAGTAAGGGTAGACCTACTTTAGGTACTAGAATATAGTTTTTGGTGGGTATTTCACACTGTAAATGAAGTCATTTCCTTGCTGTATTATGATTATTTGTATGGTTGTATTCTTCCTTTGTAGATGTGGATACAGCTTTTTTATAGTGCTAGTTTTTGGTGGTTGTTTTGCTATGCCATTGATGCCTATCTGGTGGTTCGAAGATCAGCAGGAATAAGGTACATTAATCAATACTAACATCGTCTTGCATCTCTTAATTAATGCTTCAGTGCTACCATTTAATATATTGATCATATAAGATGGCAATATTGATCCACTAAAGTTCAAATGTGCCCTGAATGGAAAAATTTGAGACTATCCTAAAATGTAGTATGTCAGATATAATTCCCAGATATGCAAATTCATTTAGTTTCTATTAAGAAAGTTAGGCCCAAAAATTTACAAATTTATTATGCTCCACAGTGCATTTCTTTTGCTGATCCGCACCTTCATTCATACAAACACATACATAATAAGCCAAACTTACAGAACTAGTCTAAACATTCAATTAGACAAGTTTGTCAATTCATATATGTAATTAGTCATGCAAACACATCCAAAAATATATAACTAGCCACTGACACGCATACATAACAACATGCTCTCACACATTCACACATAAACGCACAAGCTTGCAAAACTAGACACACACTGACATGCATACAGAGACAAACACTGATACAGCAGTCACACAGATATCCACTAACATGCACACACAGACAAACACGAACATGCATATATAGATACATATCTTGCATACATAGATATACACTGATATTCATACATGAACACACAAATACTCATGCACTAGCATGCACACATAGACACACACTGACACAAAATCAAACAAGTTAACCAAATAGCTGACACTATCCTTGAATGGCATTAATTTGATAACATTGATATTTGTTAATTTCCTGTGCAACATGATATCAAACCAACATGATTACAATGATTGTGGTGCTTTTTCCATATAAATGCCTAGCTAAATATCACATGGACAGTCTACTGAAATATTGGTTGAGCAGTTTTTCTGGACAGATGTAACTTCTACATGCTATCAGTCATTACATAAGCAATCCTTCCAACTAATGGGAAGAAATTATATCTTTAGATACCCATTTGTATCATTGTAAGCATGAATGACAGTCCATGTTGGCAGGGCCAAACCAGTGCTAGACATTTGTACATCAGCAAATAGTAATGTAAATTAAAGGGACACTATAGGCACTGGTTGCCTCTGCCAATTGCTGCTTCCTAGTGCTTACCGAGTACCACAAGCACCGCACCAGACATCATCAGCACTGTAGTCCCCACTTCCAGCGTTACAGCTTGGTTGGGATCTCACTGTCCTCCACCCACCCTGGACCCAAGACCAGGATCCAGCTTCCAGTGGGTAGACCTCTCCTCCAAGAGAGTGTATCAATATTCTTTTAAAAGAGCAAGTGATTATAATCCCAGGGGAGTATAGTGATATAGCAATCCCCAGAGTAGATACAGCCGTTTCCCCCACACATGAGATGAGACTCTGTTGTTAAGGGTAAGCAGGAACATGTTTAATGGTAGCCACAACTGGGCTTATATGCAGGTCCTCATGCAAGGTCCCCCCCCTGGACCTGAGAGTAGACTACAGTAAAAACATATACACAATTACATTGGCTCTCAGGTCAAGGACACTCCCACATAAAACAAGATAATCCCTCCTCTATGCCTGGGATATAATTGAGTCAGGTACTGTATAAAACTCAGTTATCTCCAGGCATAGAAAACACAATGTTTTACAAAACCCTCAAAATACCTTTAAACACACAACCCCCCACAGTTACATCCCCTGATAGCCCTGATCTGGGTGACCAACATATCCAAAAATCACCCAAATCGGTTCAGGAATTTCCTGGAAGTCATAATTTGATGGACCGCATGCATGGTCCCATGTCTAAAACAGTTCCAGAGAATCAGGGCTTGCGGTTGGTCTAGTTTGGTAGTTTAAAACCCGAACAAACTAGCGAACATAGTCAATGTTCTTACCCTGGAGATTGTTCACCTTGTTTGTGGGAACGTTTCCACTGAACAGTGCCCTTCTAAGCTGTGTAGAACCGAACGCAGGCGATCCTGGAAGTCGAGCGGTGTTCAGGAGTTTCAGTGTCCGAAAACAGTTCCATGAACTCGACGACCAAGATTGCCGCCACCTTGTGGTCTATCATGCGAACAGCAGCCACCCAGACGACACTTAGTACACTGCGGTAGAAAGTGTTACAAACTGTCAATTCGGCATAACAACTCCCAGGTGGTCTCTGGTTTGTGCTCCTGTTTGGTTCCCAAACCAAATATAAAATCCCATGAACCAAGTATGTTCACATAGTTTTTAAATGACCCATAGTCTTTTGGCAGGAGGCTGGCAAGCAGGCCCCTCCAAAAACACGTGGCAGAGGTATGTCTGCCACAGCCCGGTATCTACTTGATTTAATTCATCTGGTTATAGTGTCTGGAGTCATTCAGGGTTAAACATTTAAAAAAATAAAATATGTTTTAATGCTAAACAAGGATACCCAGCATCATATTCTCTCTATGCTGTTTTGGCTAATGAGGATGTATTGCCTTAGCAGCAAAGGACAGTTGTGATTAAGTGAGAGTGTCAGCTGACTGCTTTTAGCCAATCAGAGTTTCCCTTGATGGTATGAATGGGTACAATGAAGTGTGTAATCTCTGCCTTTGCCACACCTCCAGTATGACTGTAGATGGCCATAAATCCTTATTTTGTGTTTAACTGCTCGAAATGTTTTAACAGTAAATGGAGGGGCTTTGCCCGGGGAATCCAGGTACTATAACTGTTTGAAAGAGATGAAGTTGTGACTACAGTGTCCCTTTAACCCCTTAAGGACCAAACTTCTGGAATAAAAGGGAATCATGACATGTCACACATGTCATGTGTCCTTAAGGGGTTAAGGACATTGCATCAGGGGTAGGCAGTTGATGTGAACATTCTCTTTTTCTCTCTGTAGAACCTAAAGAATGATAATTTATTTTACGTAGATAGGATGTATTATGATTATGATGCTTATGTCCAATGACATGACAAAAGCAGACATGTTACAGAAATTCCATATTGTACCAGATATCAATGAAGATAGACTTTAATTAAAGCTGTAATCCTTGGGCCAATTTGACAGAGTGAAGAGCAATTTGGTTTATATATTCAACTGTGCACACTGAGGCTAGCAGACTTGTCTGTTGATCTGGAGTTTGAAGAATATTTGATTATGTGGCTGAAAATGAAGCAGGATACATTACACTGACATACAAGGTCTGTCCGGAAAGTATCCAGCCACGTAATATGAAAAATAGCGACATTAATTGAAGAAGATAAAAGGAACATGAATGTACATAGGACAATGACGCCTCAATCCCCTTCAAAATAGGCACCTTGGGACCTCACACACTTCTCCAAGTGTCTCTTCCACTGTTCAAAACACTGCAAAATTCTTTGTTGTAATAGCCATCAGCTGCATTTACCTGAATCTCATCAGTGGTCTGAAATCTCTTCCCTTTCAAAGGTGATTTTAGTTTTGGGAAAAGTCAGAGGTCTCAGGGTGCCAAATCTTTCAGATTCTCGACCATATTTGAAGCATTTCTGACACACTTTTATCTGCACTGCACTCATTGCATTGTCCCCAATTATCCCCATAGTTTCTGCAGAGGGATATTCAAGCTCAATACAAAAGTTGATGCAGATCAGTTGCTCTTCTTGCTCAGTCATTTTGACTGTGACGGCCACCTAGTACACATGCCTTCTCAACGGCGTCTAGCGCTCCCACTGACTAGTGAAGTCATCATTGTTCATGCATGCGCATTCCAGTCCACTCTCCTTGGCTGCCAGGCCACATTGATGTCACGCAAATCGTTCTTGTTACATTAACAATGGCTGGACTTTTCCAAACAGACCTTGTATACTGTGAATGCAGATCCATGTGTAGTGTTGGCATGTTTCTTAATCCCAACGCTTTTTGATTGGTATACCTGCCACAATACCTCGACTGAAATTATTTTTGCATATTTTTGGTTGCTACCTATAGAAAGTATGAATCAATGAAAGTTGGAAGGCTTCTGACTTTCATTTTTTGTTTATACTAAATCTGTAATTGTTGCTTCTATCTGCTTGTCTTTCAAACTATGACGTTTTACTGTATAAATATATTCATTGATGTTTCTTTTTGACATATACCATGTAGCACAAAGACATCTTTACTTTCTGTAGATAGCCACAGGCAAATTGACTGTTCATCTGAATTTCACATGAGTATGCATGAGAGATACTATGTGAAAAGGTCAACATTTGACTGAACCTTGCCTTTTCATCACTGTTTTTCTTATGTAATACTCTATATTAGTGTTAGTGGAATAGTATGAGCTGTGTAAGTCTGTACCATGGTGAGTAAGAGAGACACTATAGTCACCAGACAAACTACAGCTTATTGTATAATCAGGCTTTTTGCAGTAAACACTGTCTTTTCAGAGATAATTCCGTGTTTACAATACATCATAGGGATACCTCCACTGGCCACTCCTCAAATGGCTACTAGAGGTGCTCCCTGGAGAGACACTGAACTTTTTTTTCATAGAGGTGCATTGATCCAATGCACCTCTATGAAGAGATGCTGATTGGCCAAGGGCTGTGTTTGGCTTGTGCTGGCTTTGCCCTTGATCTGCCTCCTTAACAAGCTCAGCCAATCCAATGTTTTCTTATGGGAAAGCATTGTGATTGGCTTTGATCAACAGTTCTGATGATGTCAATCAGGCAGATCAGAGGCAGAGCCAGCAGCAGCAGATTGGAATAACGGTACGATTTTACTATATTTAAGGGAATGGGAGTGGGGGATAGGGTGTTTAGATGGTGTTTTTAACACTATAGGGTTCCTATCCCTATAGTGTTCCTTTAACTTTGGTTCCAGAGATGCTTGTGAGTAATATTTCCAATGATGCATATACATCCTAGACTATATCAATAAATTACGTTGCATGCAGGATTTTATATATATATATATATATATATATATATATATATACAAAGATATATATATATATATCTTCCGTGATAGTGATATATTCTGTCATTATTTGCTGATTTAAAACATGCTTCAAGTTAATTATGTTTTCATTTTGGCTATTTTGATGGTTCACATGCCTGACAATTCACACTTTAGGTAAATAGACACTATAGACACCCAGACCAATTCATCTCCTTGAAGTGGTATGGGTGCAGTTTCCCTATCTGTTTAGCTGTGCTCAGAGATATTGTAATGTTTACATTGCATACAGAAGACTGCCCCTAGTGGCTGCCTATGAGAAAGCCACTAGTGGCACTTCCTGCAGTTACTGGAGTTTGACTCTGTGAAATGACGCTGGACTTCCTCATGCTTTGCATGTCACTTGATCTGACTGTTTATTATTTTCTGCCATATCAATTGGTAACATTATAAATTATTAGTCTTTGTAAAGTAATAAAGGAGTTACACATATATTTATTTTGGTCTTATCTCAGATGACATATAGCCAAGTCTGATAAGTTTCTTTTGTAAACGTTTGTGATACATGTTTCCATATTTTTATTACTTTTTTCAGCACGATTGTCCTGTATCATATGATGACATGGGGCTTGGCAATCCTACTTTGCATTGAAGGTGTTGCTATGCTTTACTATCCTTCTGTATCAAAGTAAGTTCTAAAAACTTAGCTCAGAAATATGTATACAATAATGTTTTTAACCTGGCAATAATTATTCATACTCATAGAATCAAAATCAATGGTTATCAGGTCATTTCAGATAATACCAGTTTTCTAGATATTGGCCTCCAAAATACTATTCTTGTGTACAAAATAAGTAAAATGCGTTGGTTGGCTAGATTATACCATGATACAATTACCATTGAGATAAGGAATAGCATATGGGTTGTAGAGTCACACATTCATTAAATGATATCCTTTACTCAATGCTTCCATAATGTTGAATTTCTTGGTGCTATATAAATTCATTTTAATGATAATATTTTGCTATATAACATATATGCCAGTGTTGGGACTACCATATTTTTTTTACATGTGGGTACAATTAAAATCATCTGAAACTGAAATTTGAGTTATCTCTTTAATGCCATGTATTATAGAGGAAATACTAGACTGAGTAAATAAATACTTATTCAAGGATATCTCAGATTTTTTATAAATCCATTCAATTTCAAGTCCTGCCATTTCCCATGTTAATTGATCCTCACTACACCAACATACTACAGATGTCATACTTGGCCATACTCGCACCTTCTTACTTTCCTAGGTATTCTTAAAAGGACATTATAATCATCCAGGCCACTTCATCTCAATTAAGTGGTCTGGGTGTAGTTTTCCTGTAGTTTTAACCCTGAAATGTAAAACATTGGCATTTATTTATAAACTGCCATATTTACACTGCAGATTTAAGTCCACCTCTTGTGGCTGTCTTACTGACAGCCACCAGAGGTGCTTCCACTGCACTGACTAATAAAACGTAATCATGTGATTACAAAATCCCTAATAGGAAAGCATTGATTCATGGGAAATCTTAAATCAGCGCGGTTGCACTCGCTGCACATGCGCATTGAGTTCCGAATGCTCTCTATGTCACAGGAGGTGGCGAGGTCAACAGCAATAAGGGAGCCTTGGTGCTGGAAAAAGGTAAGTAAAACTTTTCATGAGGGGGTCCTCTATACATCTAGGACAGGGACACTATAATATTAAGAATGCAGGTTTGTATTCCTGACACCATAGTGAAACAAATCACAGGAAAGAGCGTGACTTGCAATCTCCAGCTACTAATGAAATATACTGATATATAGTCAATGTATTGTAATCCTGATGAAGTTTTAGAGAACTACAACCGTTAAGGGATACATTAGAGCAGAAAACAGTGCAATAAACTGCAATTTGGGGTTTTCAAAGTAGTATTGTTTCCTATGTTGCTGTATAATGGCTGTTTGTATGGGAATGGCACAGGCAAAACTAAATATATGCACATTCATTCAGCTTTTAACGTAAAGTAGAATGTTAACGATTTAACTATAATTACTACAATTCTTATAATGAGAAATATAGAGAGATGAAGGGAGATGTGTTGCAGTAATCCAGTAAACACATTTTGACCATTATTAAGACAGCTCCTATTTAGGTTTTTTTAGGTTTTATATTACAAATACAATAATGAAATTATGTTTTTATAGCTGTGAAAAAGGATTGGAACATGCCATTCCTCACTATGTCACCACATATGCTCCTCTCCTGCTTGTTTTGATTGTTAATCCGGTCTTGTTTGCAAGGACGGTATCAGCAGGTAAGCATGTTAAAGGGGTACTTCACTTTCCAAGATTTTAGATATTATGTTTATGTATTCACAATTTCTTTGATCAATTATGTATTTGTGAGGTGTGATATCTTATCCCACAGAATTGGTTAGGCTGTGGGTGACAGGTGGTTGTTGTGAAATGTTGGAGCATGGCAGGGGTAGCCAACCTTCAGCACTCCAGATGTTGTGGACTACATCTCCCTTGTTGCTTTGCTAGCATTAGGGCCACAAGTGCATTGTGGGATATGTAGCCCAAAACATCTGGAGTGACGAAGGTTGCCTATCCCTGGAGTATGGAAATGGCGAGCTACTGAATTTGTTCATATTCTCTATTTGTGGAGTATAGGCATCCAAGTAACTGGTGAACTCTAATGATGGTTCAATAATAAAATAATGGTTACAAAGTCTATAACTTGAATTTACACTTTTCCTAATATATAAAAAAGTAAAGTAAAGTCTATTAATTTCAGGGGCAAATGCTTCTTGATCGGTTTTAATTCTTTAGATGGTGTATGGAGACTCTTATATCTATTACTGGCTTGCCGACATCTTCATTGTTGGCTATAGAGGGGCTAAATGCCCTCTTCAGATTGACAGTGGATGAGCGTGCCCACCCCACTTTATTCCAGTCAGAAACCGCTCCAGATTAAGATAGGGAGATATATATATATATTTCAGTATCTTAGCAATCTACAGTACTGCACACTAAGGTTTGTGGGGAATACACACTCTGAGAAATGAATTATATATATATATATATATAGCGTGAAAATTCAATCTGTTTTATGGTCTGAAAAATGTTTCAGATGTTTGATAAATATATAGAACATTTGAGCATTTTTTTATCTAGCTACCATATAGATAAACTACAGTCAATGGGATTTGAAGGCCTGGGCCACTTTGTGCTGTGCCCCCACCATACAAGGTAAAGGGTTGGTGTTGCATGCCAGCCATATGTTCACAGCATGCTATGAAGGAAAATAATGAGGAAATGATGATGGATGATTTTTTAACCTGACCCAAGATGGGTATTTCTCTTCTCTTTTAAAGATGAGTGAGGCAACTAGCGTGAATATCGCCTATCGCAACTTGGAAAAGCAGACCTAAAATTGCTGAAATTAGTTGCTGACATGTTTCCATCAAAATTCAGTTACAAATCAACATCAATAGACTATATCACATGGAAGATGTTTCAAATTTGATTTCAATAAGTAGAAAGCAATGCTCATTCTTTCTCGAATTTTATAATATTATGTAAATTACAGGTGGTGTTGGTTTGGGATTGAAAATGTTCATAAATATTTCATGTAAGAAATTCTTAACTTATTTAATGTGCGTGAGCTCATGTACGCAAATAAATAGAGTATTCTGAGCATTGAAATACCCATATATATTGAACCACACATATACAATGTTGCTTAGCAGAAGTAGCCAAGACCCAAACTTTCATTTTCTAGGAAAATATCATTGTAGTTTTCATCTGCAGCATTTCCGCTCTAAGTTCTAAGCACAAGAAATCCTAGATTAGGTATTGACACGAATATTTACTTATCAGAACATATGCCAGGCTTTAGGTATCAATATCTGGTCCTTGCTATATTTGAAGTAGACTTAAAACAAATCAAAGCTTCAGATATAATCAGATATCATGTAACATTGCTTTTTATAATTTCATAGTTGCCTCTCTACTAAAGGGAAGATCTGGAATTTATACCGAAAATGAAAGACGTTTGGGTACAGAAATTCAGATCCGTTTTTTCAAGATCATGCTGGTGTTCGTCATCTGGTACATCTGAGTATTATTTTACTATTATGTAATATGTAGTTTTTGTAATGGGAAGAGGAAAGCTGGCCCCTGGCTCTAGACTCACAGTCCATGGCATCTGAAGTATTAACAATAGATTAGATAAAGGAGGTTCACAACCCATCAACTTTCTCCTCGCAGGACTTTGGTGGCCAAATCCTCCCAACTATTTTTCACCAACTCGTCACATAGCCCCAAAGTTTTGTTATCCTTCACACACAGGTTCTCCTTTTTGCTTTTCACAATTTAGCTTACCTTCTTCTGGCTATTGTTAGCCAAAGGTTCAGAGAGGGACAAAGTCACCAAGCCAACATGAACGACTCAACAGGACTCAACATAAATACTTAGAACGTATATACTACCTTACAAAACAAAGAAAGCTGATATACTATACCCAGCTTGCTACTCTAAGCCACATTGCTAACCACTGGAGTTGTAACCTTAATCCTGAATCAAACGAGCAAAACCATAGGGATCCCTAGATTATTTCCACATAGAGCCCATCGGGAACCTTTGGCAACTGTACTCGTACATTCAGTAATTATGGTAGTATATGTACTCTTAATCACAGAAAACTGAATACAAACTTATTTACAAAAACAATAGATTAGAATACCCTCCAGGGTGAGTAAGAGAATGCTATAATGTTATAGAATAAAACTCCCATCATTCTTAGCTAGGTAAACCTAAGCTGAGAGTGATTGCATCTAGAATCTGCATTATCTCCAGGGTCCACATTAGTTTAGAGGTCTACCGATGGGGGTAAGTAGTTAACTAATGAATATATATATATTTGTAATTGCAACATTGGTACACCATTAAACCCACAATGTAAGAATAATTCAAAGGAAAAAGTTAGCCAATTTTGCAAAACATGGTGGGTAACCTCAGATAGAATCAAACAAACAAACAAATTTTACAGAAAGTATATGTGTAAATGAAAACACAGCTTTTAATAATATAACAAGGTCAATAAATGAATATTGTAAGAGGGTAGCACTAGAGGCTCCAAGGTTAAGAAAGTATACATAGTGTTAGTAGTCGATGTTATTAAAGCAGTGCTGTGAACCTCCCCACCCTGAAAAAATTTGTATTTCATAAAGAAAGAATCTAAGTGAAACACTCATTTTGACTGTGTTGGCATTTCACAAAAATTCCAACTCAGTCAAGAGGTACCTTGAGAAAAAATAGGGACTACTTTGTCTCTGTATATTTCCTATGCCTGACAATTCTAGACACTACGCTACTGTTGTCTTCAAGTGTCAAACCCCCAAGGCATCACCAGTGACGGCTGCAGGGAATTGGCTCTGTCTATGGAAGGTTCCATGATCTCGCATGATCCTCCATACACCTCAATGCTGTACTCTTGTGCATCCTTTACCTGCCCCCTGGCCTCCGGACCCCCAGTGGCGATGTGACCGTCGTGGCTCTTTGCAAATCCAGCAAAGTCCACAGACACATCCAAGAGATAGGATTCATTTTAGCATTTTAGACAATGTAACAATTGAGACATCAACTAGTAACAGAGTGAATGAAATGTAGTAGTAAGCATAGAACATTCTAAATTATTGCTGCTTATCATTGTCTGACAGACGGAGAAAAAAATAAATGAATCTATTTCACTTGTACAGGGTGCACCGCAATGCAAGAACTCAAGCTATAGTTGGCCTATACACAGGATTATTTACTAAAGTAATCATTAAAAGTACATTTCAAATTTATGGCCAGAGTAGCCAAACAGAAAGCATAGCTATTAACTTAGAGAATTGTTCCTATTATGGCTATTTTGACCTCAACTTTTACACTGTAGTTGATAACCCTGATAATCTTTTATTGACATAAATACATAACCCAATTTTTCTTATAATCATAAATACTGTGAAGAAGGCTCTTCCTTTCTTCAAACAGAATCACATTTTCTGTCATGTGAGCACATGGCTGCCTTTAATCGTTTTTGCTCAAAGCTGATCAAGAATTCCAACTAATTTATTCAGCTCTTACATTCCTCAAAGTCAGTGATATATGCCAGTGATCAGAGGTCTGTTATAGGAGGGAACCTTCTAACGTTTTTTTAATCACACAATGGATCATTTATTATTAGAGTGGTCTTCTCAACAGATCAGGTTAAAAAAAAATAACGCCAACTTATTAATATTAATTCTATATAACCAATATAGTTAGCTGGTACATCAGATCTGGCCGTTTTTTTGTGAACATGTTGAGATTTTGAATATTAAACCATAAGTGACAAATACTGTTTAAAGAGGCAAGGAAGTCCGTGATGTCAGCACTCAATATGAGAAGCTCCTAGTTCTCCACTGTGTTCGAAAATAACTTTTTTTTGACACTGTGTGACCAATACCGAAGAAAAGCAAAGGTTAGGCACAAATGTTTTAACATTTTCAAAAGAAATGCTAAAATTCAAATTATTTGCACAGTGTACAAGTTGGCATTTAAAGTGCTATAAAATACTATGTAGACAATTTGTGAGATCAGTGGACTGCAAGGAAGAAAGGGAAAATCGTCAATTTATAATTTAAAGAAATCTGCTGTTAATGTTGTTATAAGCCGTGTTTTATCTCTCGTCAGTTGGGCAGCCAATATCATCAATGAGTGCCTTTTGTTCTACCTGGAAATGCAACCAGATATCAATGGAGTGCTGCTGAAAAATGTGAGGAATGCCGTACTCATCACATGGTTCATAATGGTAAGTCAGGCATGATTTCAATCAGACTAGACAGTATAACTAATTAAATATGGTAAGTCTGGTCACTTCATGTGTTTGGAGTAGTTAAAACAGAAAATATAGCTAAAAATAGCCAGATCTCAAAGGCTCTATAATTGGCTTATAAATATTTATGCAATTTTACATGAAATGAAAGTGAAATCATTCCATTGAATGTCCTGTCTTGTAAGCTTTTTTTTATTTATACAGGAGCTACTCAATGCATTTAAAAATGTTCTACCCTTGTCCAGGGCTAGATTAACATAGGGCTAATGGAGTAGAAGCTTCAGGTCCACGCACATCTAATAGGCTCATTGATTTAAAAAAAAATAATGTAAAAAATCTTTGTACTACTTTCTATTTGTGATTGCTATGTGCTGAGGAAAATTAGTATGGGAACTTAGGAGGGATGTAGAGGAACAAAACTTGTGTGGACTGGCTGACCATAAATTAGTTAAAGGGATTCTCTAGTGCCAGGAAAACAAACCCATTTTCCTGGCACTAGAGAATCCTGAAGTGCCGCCCTCCCATCCCCATCCGCCGGCAGGGAGACATACTGTGCATGCGCGGCAATGGCCGAGCACGCATTAGACATCCCCATAGTAAAGCATTATTCAATGCTTTCCTATGGGGATTCCGGTGACGCTGGAGGTCCACATGCATAGCGTGAGGACGTTCAGCATCATTTACACGACCAAAAGTTGCCTAAGAAGCCGAAAGTCCGTCTAGTGGCTGTCTGGTAGACAGCCACTAGAGGAAGACTTAACCCTGAAAGGTAATTATTGCAGTTTATAAAAACTGCAATAATTACACTTGCAGGGTTAAGGGTGATGGGAGTTGGCTCCCAGACCACTTCAATGAGCTGAAGTGGTCTGGGTGCCTACAGTGTCTCTTTAAGATAAAGCTGACTTTGCACACTGTGCACAAACTGTTGTTGCTTCTGTCTCTCTAACAGTGTGGCATGTCCCCTTAATTCTACACTCACTACATCCACCTTCCAAGGGAAGGAGAGCAGTGGACAAGAGAGTACTGCGTGACACCAGGGAACTGTCCCTAGAAAGCAGACAGTGAGCACATCATTTGGCACACAAAATTAGAATCTAATGATTAGATGTGGACCAACCAATAACACCTAAATGCTCCCCAACAACATGTAACAAATGATAAACAAAGATTTTAGTGATACAAATAAAATACGCAAAAAAAGATAAATAAAATATAAAAATTGTGTTCAATTCAAACAGTTATAGGAAGTGTGTAAGCACAATACAGAAAAATTGCACTATAGCTTTACAACCACTCCCAATGTACTGTTACTTTCAAACCTCTTGTATATGAAACACAATAACTTATCTTAATATTCTTTTATGAGTGGTAATTCCCAGAAGCTCAAAAATGTTCAAATGCTTTATGGAAATATAAGAATACCAAAAAAAAAATATATATAGCATAAAATCCTTCATATTACATATACGGTAAAAAAAAATTTAAAAACACAATGTTGTTGGGACTTTGTGTGCCTCAGTACTAAGTTCTGCAGCTTAAGCAGTCCTCATTGTGTACAATCCACTGTTCACTGTACCATCCACTGGACACTATTTTCCATGCTTGTGTTTGCCTTTCGAATGCTGAAATTTGATTTTGTCAGTGACCAGAGTTGCTTGCAAGATTTTAACTTTTACAGCTCTGAAACAGCTGGAACTCAGGACCACATGACAGCGTACTGACGTCACTACTGACGCATTTCGCCTAAGGAACCAGGCTTGCTCAAAGCGTGTACTGTCACGATCCACCATTTATTTTCTTTAATACACTGTCCAGTTCTCATTTAACCAACTGAGTCCCACTTTTGTTTTTATCAAATTCCGAAAATGGATACGGTCATTTTCAAATAAAGTTCATTACGTTGTATATCCGCAGTAATAAAACACACACCCTACATAATAACACCCTACATATAAATACCCTTCTATATCTTCTGTAGTCCAGTCAGATTGATGATATTAGAGCTGCCAATCATCTTTTATTGGATATTTTCTTTGTAGTTTGAACAGCATCATTCGACACATCTTTGTCAAGCTCAGGGTGAAACAGCGCTGTCTGCCTAGTTCACGTTTAGTTGGCTGGCATGGAAGCTATTTTAACTTTTCTAATTCATCGCGCATTCATCCCTTTTTCCAGGCAGGTCTGCCCCTTTTGACAGTGACAGTTGCATGGCCCCTTTTACCCTGCCCAATGATATCAGGTTTCACAGGATGCCAATGCTGGGGCGGTATAGATTTTGTTGAGAGATGAAAGCAAAAGATTAGGGTATGTGTATGATTATAAATACATCCTCTACTGGGAACATGTCACTTGGGAGGTTAAACTTTTTAGTGTTTTCCGTTTAAAGGATTCTGTAATTAGGTCCTTCATAATTGTCAGCACCAGGTCCAATGGGCTTTTTATTTGAAATTGTTGTTATTTCTTTATTTTTGAGCATCGCGTTATAATAACAAACATATGACATAAGTATGGGAGACTTCAACAGACAATGCAGGTCATACATCACAAGAGCAGTGCACTATTTTTGTAAATCAATCAATCTAGAAACAATAAAGACAAGCTTGGCACACATCGTATCTGAGACAGAACCATCAGTGTTTCCGTTGTCCCTAAGGAGCTGAAGGAAAAAATGCTATAGTCTGACATCACAAATCTGCATGAATGGAGGTGATCAGAGAAGTGCACATATATGATTAAAAGAATGTGGATTAACAAAATGATGTAGAGTATATGCATATAGTGCTCGTACATGATGGGTCTAGAAAGCTTACGAGATGGGTCTAGAAAATGGAAATTTAAGTAAGGTCATTGTGCACACATTGGTATATGGTATTCTGGATATTTGTGATAGGGAATTCCTATGTACTATAAAGATAAAAAACCCATCATAGGGCAATATGTATACAATAAAATGATAATAAAAGATAACTTGGAACACTCACAATGTTTAGAGCCCTTATAAGTCAGCTCTAATCAATGCTGTCATTTTCATCAATATAACGGTTAAAAGTGTAGATGTGTAGTTTCATCAGCCAGTCCTCCATGGTTCGTCAATGCATGATGACGTCCTTCCCATATCAGCTTCACCCCACTTCTACCCATAAAGTCCTTGAGATTCCCGAAAGCAAGATGGCTGCATCTCCACCTCCTGTGGGCTAAGGGTGCTTAATGGACTCTTCATAGCGCACCATGTGCTGCATCCATGCCAATCAGAACTGGCGACCAGGGATACACTCAGGGGTGTTTTTACCCCGAGGCAAACAAGGCATTTGCCTTGGGTGGCACTTTCTGCCCAGGAGCTGGCTGGGTGGCAACCTCGGGGCACCCCAGGCTGGCAGTGGCAGAACTTTCGGGGCGGGAGGACTAAACCTCCTGTTCAGCTCCCTCGCGCACACCACAGTGATGCCGGAGCCAGAATATGATGTAATTCAGGCTCCTGCATCACTATGTGGCGCGCGAGGAAGCTGAACAGGAGGATTAATGCTCCCTCGCCGCCTGCAGTCACCGGCCAGCAGCCCCACTGGACCCCAGAGAAAGTGATAATCCACCCCAGCATTCCCAAAGGTAGGGAGGCTGGGGGGATTGAATTTTACAAAAAAAAAAAAAAATGTGAGTGTCTGTTTGTGAGTGTGTGTGTCTGTTTGTGAGTGTGTGTGTCTGTTAGTGAGTGTGTGGGTGTCTGTTATTGTGTGTGTGTCTGTTAGTGAGTGTGTCTGTTAGTGAGTGTGTATGCCTGTCTGTTAGTGAGAGTGTATGCGTGTCTGTCTCTGTTAGTGAGTGTGTTAGTATGTGTGTCTGTTAGTGAGTGTTTATGCATGTCTGTCAGTGAGAGTGTATGCGTGTCTGTTAGTGACTGTATGTGTCTGTTAGTGAGTGTGTATGTCTGTTAGTGAGTGTATGTGTGTCTGTCAGTGAAAGTGTGTGTCTGACACTGAGTGCATATGTGTCTGTCAGTGAGTGTGTATGTGTATTTAGAATGTAGGGGTGGGGGGGAGGGGCAGCACAAAACCAGGATACACCACTGGATACACTTGCACATTTTTTAACTACTAAAATAAATTTACAAGCAGGTATCAATACCCATACACCCTTATACAATGTATACACTTTTAAGTGGAGGGGTGAGGTGCCTGACACGGGGAGCCTGCTCATAGCTCCAATTTTATATGAAGAGCAAAAGTAGAAAGCACTATAAAACAATCTCCTACACTCGGTATCATCATCCCTTCTAGTCTATAGAATATAGCATAACACTTCAGGACAGGCTGAACATCACAGGGCTGCAGTGTAATGGTTTGCTTTTGCTTCTATTAAATTCTTGTTTCTGTTTTAGGGAATACTGAATCCTATGCAAGGCTTCCTCTTTACACTAGCTTTCTATGGATGGACAGGATATCATATAGACTTCAAATTTAATCAAAAGGAAATAGTTTGGGAGCCGATATCTACATCAACTGTTGGTGAACCAACGCACAATGGTCATATTACTTCCTTCCTGAACTATCCTGGTTACATCCAGAACCCAAACAAGACCGACATGGAAAATAGCCAACAAACTGATGAAGCACTTGGCATGCTCTCTGAAGGTAATGGGATAATAGCCGAAAGACTAAAAAATAACTCCCCAATCTACCAAGGCTATTAGTTATCAGACTGTGGGTTCCCATCCAATTAGAAATCCCAACATGTCCTTACTTTGTTGCAATAGTCAGTGTGGCTCTAGAACTGTGAAAGATGTAAATGCTGCACTGACGTGGATGACCAATACACTTGTGTCCTATTCTGTAGATGGAATTAATACAGCAAATTCGGACTATGATCTCAATGACACAGATACCAACCTTAATTATAGACAGAAGTAGATTATGCTTACATAGTTATCTAGTTAATTAGATTTAAATAATCACCCTGTATATTAAGTTTAAACTCTTTAACTTCACAAATCTATCTAGATAAATGCAGAAAAGCCCATTGACACACTTAGACTCTGATGACCCAATTTCTCAATAATAAGGTGTGATAGTTCCACTAATAAAAATTGCAAATGCATTATTTTGGAGATGTAAATCCATAAGCAGTTCATGAATTTAACATTATATTTTACACCTACTGTATGTTTAGTTTCTTATAGACACAATTTTATTAAAAAGAACCTCCAAGCATTGGTTTGGTCCATTTCTCCTCTGAAATAGAGCTTTGGTTTGGATGGGGTAAAAAATAGTAAAAGTCTTAACCCAAAGCACCAGATGACAAAGGTACTCCAAGTCAGGACAAAAAGACAGAGGCCAAACCCAAAACAAAAAAATGTCTATCTCTTCAATGTCAGAAAATTCCACACTATATCAAGCCACCATGACCTTTCAGACTTTACAGCAGGGAGTCTTCACAATTTTGTCTTGATGACATAACAAAAATTCTTGTCAACTACAATCACAATACAGTTTTTCCATGTATCATTGTTCTCTGTTGTTATTATTATTTCTAGGTTTAATACAGATCACTTCTCTGCAAAATCCAGGTAGACTTTCATATGATAGCCCTAACTCAATTAAGAGGGATGCTCTTTTTTTGTAGTTACTGTTTGTACTGTTTCTCTGCGTTGAGCACATTGTATGCTGTTTACTAGACAGGAGATGACAATAATTAAGGCAATTAAAGAAGTATTAGCAGATACAAATAACACTCTTGTTTTATCTTCCTGTCCTGTTTGAGACTAATGGGCAGTTTGAGATGTTGGCCCATCCATAGATAACTCCAACCTGCTTTAATTTTCCATTGTCGCATGATAAAAACATATAATCCAAATTATCATCATATTGTAAGGATGTAAATCATCTTGTCAGACATAACCTTGACACAAATAATAATAAGTCATAGAGCATCTATTATGTAAAATAACTAGAACCCTATGTATACATAAAATGGATTATATTTATAGTCCTCCCTCTACACACCATGTAGGGCTTATGAAATCTTCAAATTCTGAATAGTTCTTTAATGAAGGGCTCTCTGAAAATCACATTCTTTGAATTTGAAAAGCACTTTAATTTTAGAATTGTTTGTTCTGAAAACTGTTTGCAGTATTCTACAGAGAAAGAAATGGGTAAACAATCCGTTACTGTCATACAAAATAAAATATTTTAATTTGAACATTTGGCAATAAATGTATTTTACATAAACGTAGTGTCTTTCTTTTTTTCTCTTAACATATTTGTTAAGATGCGTATAGAATGAAAAAGATTAAAATTAGAATAAAAAGAGTATCATTAAAATACATCTGCATCTATATGACTATATGATTAATAAAGATCTCTTAATATTCACTTTTGATTAGTGTCCAATGAGTGCAAAAACAGATGTGATCAAATGTTTTTTTCAGTTGCCCATAAAGTCATTCTACAAACCCTTAGCCACTGTGATATAATGTATAAGTAATAGATTTCATATATTTAATACAGAATATAAAACCAATGCTATTTTTGTTTATCAATGTGACCCTAGATTGTCATTTATGAGACACATAAAGAAGTATACGCTGGGTCCAGCTTATTTAGCATTCCACTGCACGTCTTAATTGTTTATGTCTAACTGTATAGTTCGATATGACATGTGGGTTTCTACCTCTGAATGTATGCTGCATAAGGCAATATTCTATTAGCAGAGGCCAGAACTATATCTGTAGGAACATTCCTATTCAGTTACAAGTAAGGATCGACTGATTATTGGTTTGGCTGATATTTAAAATTTTGGCAATTATCGGTATCACCTTATAATGATACCGATATTTCTGATGAAGCGGGAGGCAGCGAATACCCAACACACACACTACTTTTAGCTCCTCTCTGAGTTGGAGAGAGGACATGCCGGAAACAGAGGATAGCGTGTGCTGGGTCCCAGCCATCCTCTCTATAATGCAATTGGCATCAGGGTGGAACACTGGCAGAATATTGTTACCAGTTATCAGCCATCGGCTATCGGCCCAATAATCGGTATCAATATTGCCCTTAAAGGACCACTATAGGCACCCAGACCACTTCAGCTCAATGAAGTGGTCAGGGTGCCAGGTCCATCTAGGGTTAACCCTGCAGCTGTAAACATAGCAGTTTCACAGAAACTGCTATGTTTACATTAGGGTTAATCTAGCCTGTAGTGGCTGTCTCATTGGCAGCCGCTAGAGGCGCTTCCACGCTTCTCACTGTGATTTTCACAGTGAGAAGACGCCAGCATCCATAGGAAAGCATTGAGAAAGCATCAGCGGATGACGTCGGAAGAGGGAGGAGAGTCCCCAGCGCCGAGGGAGCCCGGTGTTGGAGAAAGGTAAGTGTTTAACCCCTTCCTCCCCCTTCAGACCGGAGGGAGGGGGACCTAGAGAGTGGGAGGGGGGGGGGGAACCGAAGACCCTTTAGAGCCAGGAAAATATGTTTGTTTTCCTGGCACTATAGTGGTCCTTTAAGTAAGTGATATTGGTTGTCCCTAGTTACAAGTGATAAACATAGTTCTGAACACACATGGTTATTCTTATAAACTGTTGTAAATTAAAAAACATTGTACATGCTTTCCCCCCCCTAATTTGGCTACGTTGGCCCAAATTATGAAACTCGTTTTAAATTCCTCATAGTCACTTTAATAAATTACTATGATAGATGTCAACCCTCCTCAGTTTTTCAGTACTAGAAATATTATTGATACTTTGCTCTCAACATATTATAGAATTTGTACTGCTACAAAAAATGTCCGTCTGCTTTTGGTCACCTCTATTTAGGTTTCCAGCTCTATCTTCTATTATACTGCATTAGAATGTGCACCTGTGCATTGTGCTACTTGTTTGTATTTGTGAACAATGGTGACCAATGAGTTACATTTCCATTTGTTACTTCGATACTACTCACCAGAACAAATGCAATAAGGTGTAGTTTTTCTGGTGACTATAGTGTCCCTTTAAACAAGTAGAAATGGATAAAATATCCATTTCAATTGCAATACCTGGTGAAATCTGCACTTTTTACCTCCTGTCTGAGTTCCTGCAAAACCAACTCCAATCAAATAATAAACATGTAAAAATATCCACTAGACATTTAAAACTAGTGCAAATGCTTTCTTTTCTTTTGGGTAACTTCAATGTACTTACGATAGACTAGACTAGACAGCTATTGTTCCAGTTTGAATCTGCTATTAACGAGTTCTGTTTACTACAAGTGGCCTAGGTAAGGATTCATAGGTTCTCTACAGACATGAAAATCCTATTAAAAGAACACTCCAAGAACAGTAAAAACTACAGTGTCCAGAGTGCCTTGGCACCATCCCATAGGAAAATGTCAAACTGGTTTAGCACGGTTTGACAATTTACCTGGGGACCCGGAGCCCATTGGGCACTTCTTGTCTTCTCCAGCAGGAGAAGCCGGTTTGCTTTATAGAGCAGGACAATGCAGGACCATGCACTCCAAGCACCACAAAAAGTACAGTGACTGGAGTGCCTTGGTGCTATTCCATTGGAAAATGTTAAACTGATTTAGCACGGTGTGACAATCTACCTGAGTGCGGACCTCATTGGACTTTATCTTCTCCAGCAGAAGAATTCGGTTTACATTATAGAGCAGGACCGTGCAGGACTGCACTCTTTGACAGCGGAATGGTTTCAGCCCGGGATTATGGTTCTGCATGACCTTGCGTTACTTTACGAGTCATCATGTTTCTCCTGCTGGAGAAGACTGGATGCACTGATGTGATGTGGTCTGCAGTAGTTATGGTGCTTGGAGTGGTCATTTAATAAAACTCCTCAATTTATTTATACATTTTAAGTGCTATAACTCATTTACACGTAACAATACAGGGTTACAATTAATATGTCATTAGCATAAATATATTTATCAGATGCAATGAGCCAATTGTGCAGGTAGCTATAAACCTGCTCTAGTATGTGATGATTTATGGCAGAAGCATGGACAAAAAGAGTACGGGTTTAGCTGGGCAAAGCTAATTTTACACATTTTCTTAGGCTACAAAAATATATAGAGTTGTAATTAAAATTATTTCATCCACACTGAAAATCATGTTTATTGTCAACATTTACAGACTTTCAGTTGTTTGCGATGAACACATCAAACTAAAGCAATTGAAATAGCTCAGCACAATGAAATGGTTTCCCCAAATTCAACTGAAAATGCAACTTATAATGACTTCACCTCTTCATGGCAAGCATCTTTAGTATTTAGTAGAGCACCTTTTTGCTGCTATGACCTGCTGCAAACGAGATGCGTAGCCAGACACAAGCTTCTGGCAGCATTCCTGAGGACTCTTGGCCCATTCCTCCAGTGAATTACTATTCTTGGGTTTGTGTACTGCAACCCTCTTCTTCAAATCCCACCAGAGATTTTTGGGGGGGTTCAAGTCAGGTTACTGTAATGGCCACTGTAGAATTTCCCAGCATTTCTTGTGCCACCAAGCCTTGGTGGAATTTGAGGTATGCTTGGGATCATTGTCTTATTGTAAGGTTCAATGATGTCCAAGCTTCAGCTTTCTAGCAGACAGGATGTTTTATCATAGGATTTCTTGATACTTCAATGAATCCATCTTGTCTTCCACATGCTACAGGTTTCCAGTGCCAGAGAATGTCACTTCATTCTTCTTCCTCCAGATATACCGCAGATCCATTGTGCCGAAAAGTTCCAATTTAGTTTCATCACTCCACAGAACAGAATCCCCAAGTTTATGATTTTAAACATACTGGAGCCAACTTTTCTTACTCTTGTGTCAGTAGTGGTGTACAACTTGGAGTTCTGGAATGGAAATCTTCTGCATTTAGTACGCTCCTTACTGGGCTCACTAAAGCCTCAGTGCCTGTTGCCACCAAGTCTTGCTGCAGGTCTTTTGCAGTCACTCAAGGGATTTTTCACATCCTACCTTCTCAGATATCTGGTTGCAGCCATTGATCGCTTCCTTTTTCTGCCCCATCCAGGTAGTCGTTGTGTTGAGCTGTTTCAATTGCTTTTGTTTGATTTGTGCATTGCAAACAGCTGAACGTCTGTAAATGTTGACATTAAAACTGATTTTCAATGGGGATTCAATAATGATTGAGAAATCCACCCCGATTGTGTGTCCTAAGATGAGAAATCCTGCTTTAATTGTTCTGTACAAATTGATGTTGATTGTTGATTTGCACAGAAAGTAGAGGATGAGTCAATTCTCTTTTGTTTTGTTAGGTTCTGATGATAGCACAATTGAAATCCACATATCAAACGAACTGCCAGACTTAGATGACATTGAGGCTGATGATGAATCCATGGACAACAATGAAGTCCCAAAACGTGTGAAATGAGCACCCAAACAGACCAGCCTCTGGATAAATATGCAAACTGTTGTACATTGTTCTTTATGTAAAAAAGAAAAAAAGAAAATGAATAAAATAAAAGAAGACATTGAAAATCTGACAGCTGCTTCACACTCCTATACTTCACCCTCACAAACTATGATACACAAAGTCACAGATATTGTATAGTCCTTGCTGGGCCATTACTCCTGAGCAGCGGCGTACATACCGCAGTCACAGGGGTCACAGCTGCGGCTGGGCCCGTCACTCCAGGGGGCCCAGCCGCCCTGCGAACCCCTGTGACCGGGTGCCCGGCGCTATGTGTTGCGGCCCCGGCTGCGCAGTATATTGTGGGGTCACAGGGGAACGGGCCCTTTGGGTGGCCCATGCTGTTAGGGCCACCCGATGGAAATTAATATTATCATCAGAGTGGGCCCGGTAACAGCGCGACCGGGCCCCCTCTGATGATGTCAAATGCTGGGAGGAAGTGACTGCCATGGTCACTCATCCCAGCAACCACCGGGAGCCATGCAGGAGGAAGCAGAGGGAGTCAGAGTGAGAACTCTGAATCCCATCAAGGAACCTGAATACAGTAAATATAAGACACTTCACAATACCAAGATTAATGCCAGCAGCTTTAGCACCGTCAGTGGATATCCCAATAATACACAAAAAAACTAGATATATACAAAAGGGAGGGCTCCCAAGGTTAGGTAATATACCCACCACCTGGCACACAGAGTCCCAAGGTGCAGTGCTAATTTAAATTACCCTTAATGAGGTATGGGGAAAATTTCTCACATGTAAAAGAAATAAAAGAAATACAATAGTATAATACTGTATTTTTAATTGGCATATATAGTATAAGTGAGTATATACATAAACTCACATTTTTCTGAGCCTTTCTCGGTATCGGCTCAGAACAAGAAGTGGGTCTGGATTTTTAGGTGCATCATAGGACCTTCTTTTGAATGTTCACTCTTCGTTATAGATATGGAGATAAAAACAAAAAGAGCAACAATCTAGGTAGAAACGTTTCCCCAAATTGGCAGAGTTGAATATATAAATGACCTGCTCACCTTAGAAGGAGCCCGTTTTGGTAACTGGCTCCAAAAAAAATCCACTTGGTGTCCAGCTAGAAAAGATTGAGAGGGATACAAAAAAAAATACAAGAGAGATAAATATGATTATGAGAACAATCAGGTGAGATCATTTTTTAAAAACCAACAACATAGTACACATAGGATACAATCATGAGAGATACCCCATAACAAGTACAATCAGGCAGAGAAAGTGAGGAGAAATTCACAATCAAGAGATAGGAGATCTAAAAATGAAACTTACAACCATAAAGAGAAAACTACTAGGGGATACAACATGACACCTAGGAAAACACCAAAACCACCACATGATAGAAAGATGAATGACCATAGGATCTCACCTAGTAGAGGTTAACCATCTAGAATAGAGGAACCTTTCTTCCACCGTAATAGATTTGACACTCTGGCTGAACACCCAAGAGAGCAGTTTTTTCACAGGACAGTCCAAAGAGAGAGATACAAGGATACACTAAAATCTCCCAATCGGACCCAAGAAAAAACTGTTTACTCCAGATCACCGGGCAAGAGACCAAGGGAGGTGGAAGAAGGGGAAATAGGGGAGGCCTCAGGCTTCAGGAGAGAAAAACGAGACGGGTTTTAGACCAAGCCATCACTTTTAATTTGACAGACACACCATTATCCAAATTGGAACATAAGGTATTAAATAAAGGTTTAAAATTTGTCCCAACTCAACCAATAAACAAATTCAACTTTTTTAAATTGATTTAAACAAATTCAAAAGACAACTATGTATTAAAAAATTATTTGTGAAGAATTGACAATCACCCGACTGTATCAAAATACATACACACTGATTTAAAAAGCAAATCTAATTTTTTTTCCAGACAACCAGATCGCACACGAAATGATTGCTTTTGAAAAATCCGTAATGCAAGACATAGGCAAAATTAAACCAGTAAGACAAAAGAATTTTAGTAAAGAGGAATGAACAACTCTTAAAATATTACAAAAATATCAAGAGAGAGTCATTAAGCCTGCAGATAAAAGGGGGGGGGGGAGGAGAGGGGAATAGTGATAATGTCAATGCAGCAATACATTGAGGAAGGCATAAGACTGGTGAGTGATGACCCCACCAAAGAGATAACGAATATATTTCGAGATTTCTTCAAAACTGGTCAAGATATCGGAATTTTAAATGATCACGAATATAAATATTTAAATATTAATATCCCTAAAATACCAGTCTTCTATAATTTGCCAAAAATGCATAAGAACCAGACAAAACCACCGGGCAGGCCCATATCCAGTAGACTATCGGAGTATATTGACAAATGCCTCCAACCACTAGTACAAACTACCTCAAGCCACTTAAAAGACACAATCAGTATTTTACAGGTTTTAGAAAAAATAAAATGGGAACCAGATTATCTGCTAGTGATATCTGATGTGAGCTCACTCTACACAATAATAGATCATGAAAAAGGCTGTGAAGCCAAACACTTCTTCCTGTCTACCTCAAATAGATACCAAAATGAACAAATAGAGTTTATAATGAAAGGAATAGACCTCATCCTCAAAAATAATTATTTCTGGTTTCAGGAAGATTTTTTCTTGCAAATATGTGGTACAGCGATGAGGACCAGATTTGCACCCAGCTACGCCAATTTATTTATGGCATTTTGGGAACACATATTTATAACAATAATAGCTGGAGTGCAAATCTGGTCTCATACCACAGATACATAGATATCTTTTTCATTTGGAAAGGTGATAAGATAGATTTGGAAAGCTTTTTAACTTTTTTAAATTCTAACAGTTTGGGAATTATTTTAAATACAGTATATAGTGAGTTTAGCATCAACTTTTTAGACATAAATATCTACATCAAGGAAAACAAATTGAAAACCAAAACGTTTTTTAAAGCAGTTGATGTTAACAACTACATTCACCTCACAAGCTGCCACTTTTCTCCCTGGTTAAAAAATGTGCCAAAATCACAGTTTTTACGAATAAGAAGAAATTGCTCAGATGTAGATGTTTTTAATATCCAGGCAAAAAAACTGAAGCATCAGTTTACAGAAAAAGGATACGATCCCATACTTTTAGATGACTCAATAAGAGATGTAACTTTAGACCGTGCTTCTCTTTTAAAGTATAAAACAAAAGTGACCAAAGCGACAGATTTAAAGATTCCTTTTATTTGTAATTTTAACCAAAACAGTAAACAAATAAAAAAAAGATTTTATCAAAGCACTGGTCACTTTTAAAAAAAGACCCAATTTTGTACAATATTTTACCCGGCCAACCAAAAATTATATACAGAGGAGCAAAAAATTTACAACAAACGCTAGAGAGAAATCATATCAAAAAGGAAACTCAACATTCCTTTTTTCAAAAAAGTGGTTTTCATGGATATGGTTTGTGCCTCGCCTGCAGGAACACCAAAAGCAAGAAAAGATACACTGAGAAATGTGAAGACCCTCATAAAAAGAAAAGCTATAAAATTCAGGAAATGGTTACATGTTTCACAAAAAAATCTTATTTATTTATTAAAATGCACATGCCAACTCAGATATGTAGGGTGGACAAAACACTCATTAAATGTCCGATTAAATGAACATATCAGGAATATAAAAAAGGGATATGATAAACAAAGCGTATAAAGACATTTTAAGGAGAAGCACAATTGCGATCCCCAGTTTTTAGAACTTTTGGCCATACTAAAGGTGAAACCAAATTGGAGAGGTGACGATATTGTACAAATTTTGGGTAGATGTGAGATGAGATGGATTTTTAATTTGAATACCCTGACCCCTATGGGATCTTAATTAGATATTTCTAGCGTAATAAGGAGGAGCATGGATAATGTAGTTTGACCGATCCGAAACCAGAAGGGAATTAAGTGGAACATCACTTCCGGTTATACGAATGCGGAAGTGAAGACGGCTACAATCAGGAGAAACTAGTGTCAGCTGGAGGAAAGCCCTCAGGTTGGGGGAGAACGAAAAGAGGAGGAGCCTCGATGGATTCAAAATGGAACCGGGAACCAGAAGGACTACACCAATTGAAAAAGCCCATGATAGTGGCGAGACGTGTCTTAGATGCAGAGGAGACTTTTAAGAAAATACTTTTATATTTATGTACTACAATTTTGATTTTATTGTTTTTGTTTTAATTGTTACATTAAAGTTTTATCTTTACCAAGCTCTCCATCTACTCTCCTACTTGGATCCGGTTCCTTGCAGGAAGAGGTTCTATATCAACTGTCAAAAGTAAAGACAAATAAGTCAATGGGACCTGATGGAATACACCCAAAGCTATTAAAAGAGCTTAGTGGTGTACTAGCAAAACCATTAACAGATTTATTTAACCAATCATTGTTAACAGGAGTAGTCCCAGAAGATTGGAAGTTAGCGAATGTTGTGCCCATTTACAAGAAAGGTAATAGGGAGGAGTCGGGCAACTATAGGCCAGTAAGCCTTACTTCAGTAGTGGGGAAAGTGATGGAAACCATGTTAAAGGATAGGATTGATGAACATCTAAAAACACATGGATTTCAAGATCAGAGACAACATGGGTTTACTTCAGGGAGATCATGCCAAACTAATCTTATTGATTTTTTTGATTGGGTAACTAAAATTATAGATCAGGGTGGTGCAGTAGACATTGCTTACCTAGATTTCAGTAAGGCTTTTGACACTGTTGCACATAGAAGGCTTATCAATAAACTGCAATCTTTAAGTTTGGATTCCAATATTGTTGAATGGGTAAGGCAGTGGCTGAGTGACAGGCAACAGAGGGTTGTAGTTAATGGAATATATTCGAAGCTTGGACTTGTCACCAGTGGGGTACCTCAGGGATCTGTACTTGGACCCATTCTCTTTAATATTTTTATTAGTGATATTGCAGAAGGTCTTGATGGTAAGGTATGTCTTTTTGCTGATGATACTAAGATATGTAACAGGGTTGATGTTCCAGGAGGGATAAGCCAAATGACAAATGATTTAGGTAAACTAGAAAAATGGTCAGAATTGTGGCAACTGACATTTAATGTGGATAA